ACCCCGTCTGGGCAGAGGAGAGGCGGAGCTGGAGGGTCCCATGTGCTTCGAGGGGTTCCTGCTGTGTGCACGGGGACTTAGCTGCACTTCGCGGGAAGCATATGCATACATACAGCTACACCCATGTATAGATATAGATATATTGACAGACATGTACAGACATCCCCATATATATTTCTAGTGAGGCCCCATCTGCAGTGCTGTGTCCAGTTCTGGGCTCCCCACTCCAAGAAAAAATTAGGAGCTACTGCAGAGAGTCCAGCAGAGGGCTACGAGGATGAGGAGGGGACTGGAGCATCTCTCCTACGAGGAAAGGCTGAGGGAGCTGGGTTTGTTCAGCCTGAAGAAAAGGCTGAGAGGGGATCTAATAAATGCTTATAAATATCTGAAGGGTGTCAGGAGGATGGGGCCAGATTCTTTTCAGTGGTACCCAGCGACAGGACAAGGGGCAATGGGCACAAACTGAAGTAGAGGAAGTTCCAGCTGAAGATGAGGAAGAACTTCTTCCCTCTGAGGGTGACGGAGCACTGCAACAGGCTGCCCAGGGAGGCTGTGGAGTCTCCTTCCCTGGAGATATTCAAGACCCACCTGGACGCGGTCCTGTGCAGCCTGCTCTGGGTGACCCTGCTTGGGCAGGGGGTTGGACTAGATGACCCACAGAGGTCCCTTCCAACCCCGACCATTCTGTGATTCTGTGATATATGCACACAATACATACAAACACACACTTATAGATGTATTTTATACATATCAAGGGCAAACAAGCCCTCAATGCCAAAAGGCATCCCCACTGGTTGGGGCAAGGAGTGCCCTGTCTGCCCTGGGATGGGTTTTATCACCCAGCTCCGGGTCTTTCCCGCAGTTTTCCAGCTGATTTAGGCAAGGAGAAGGAGCAGGGAGAGGGGACGTCCCCGTCCACGCGGCCACAGCCGGGCCCTGCCTCGCAGTGTCGCAGAAGCACCTGTCTGAGTGTGGAGGAGAAAGGCTGAATTAGGATATTTAGGTCAGAAACTCTTTTCAGCCTAATTTTACTATGCAAATTGAGGGCAGATCGGCCCGAGTAAGAAGTCAGGTTTTTCCAGATCGGGTAATAGATTCCCATAGCCTGATCCTTCCTGCTGTCCCCACACTGAGCAATCACCAGCACCCACAGCAACGCCCTCCCCGCAGCAACACAGCCAGAAATTCAGGACATCGCCGTCACTTCGCACACACGCTGCCTACCTCAACGGCAAACCCAGGAGCAGAGGAGCTGCCACCCAAAGCCCAGCCGTGCCTCATATCACGCCATCCTCCCCAACCTATCCAGCTGTTTCCCAAGAGGGCATAAAACTCCTGCAGCTGCAGTCAGACGATTGCCAAGGAAAGAAAATCTACCCAGGTCACGGCCATGCCCGAAAGCCTGGGACAGGTAGCTTTGGAGGAGCAAAGCCCGCACATCATTGCCTTTCCCCACTGACTGGCACTATCCCTGTTGAATCACCACCCCATGACTGCTCCCCAGTGACGGAGTGCAGGAGTGGAGTCTCCGCTGTCACTTCCTGGGGGTCACGGTGAAGATGCTCACTGGGCTGGCCTCACGCCGGGGCTGATGCACGGTTCGAAGCCAGCTGTTCCCCTTCTCATCCTCCTGCTAGTTAGGGGAAGGAGGCAGCAAGAAAGCCCCCCTGATTCAACAGTAAACAGGTTTCTGTTTGGCTTTTCTCCTGCTCCAGGCTTCCCTGCGAGAGCTTTGCTTTCCCT